TCAAACCATACCATATTTATATTAAACATATTGGAATCTTTTATTACACGTTATACGTAGGTGAATGATCTCAAACGATTGGGAGGAACTGATTATGAAGATGTAGTAACCAATGCACTAGCATATATAATTTCAAATCAGCTAGCTTGTCAATACAGTTGGAAGGGAAAAGGGGCAAAAAGTTCATTCAGCAATGACTTTAAACTATTTAATAAAGCCATTTTAAGTTAGTTAATTGTATTCAAATAAATTATAAAATATATATATGCTTATTTATGTAAACATAAAAGTTTTTATATATTGTTCTTGATTTTCTATAATTACAATTTTTTGTTCCCAGTACTTGTTCGCTTTACAAAGGCTGATCTAACTAATAAAATGTACGGAGAAATTGTTGCGAAGTGGTTGGTTCAAGCTCCACAAAGGTTTAAAAGAGAAGAAGCGTAAGAATATATTTTTTAATATTAATTATAATTAATCAATAAAACTATGATGCCATAAATATTTTATTATCAGGAAAAAAGAAAAGGCCAGAAGAATACTGCAATTAAATGAAGATGTAGGTGACCAAAATTGAAGAATTTTCAGCTGAATTCAATGTACTATATTTCTTATTTTTATTTTGTATTACAAACAAGTTTCTTAATTTATGTTTTTATTTTTTATTTATATAAAAGACTGATGATCAATATTTTCCTACAATAATTATAATATTAAAATTCTAATTTTTTATTCCTAATAATATATAATTATAATGAATTTAATTAATATTGTATTAACTTATATTATATTCTAATAGCTGAAGTTATTAACTATTATGAAATGTTATTTCATTATTATTTATACATATTTATTTGCAAGGTTGCAAGATTGTTTTTTTGAATAATAATAAACATTAATATCATTACCAATAATATCTATATTATTTATTTATTATATTATATCTATGTGATAAATTATTCAGTTTATATGTTGAGTTAGTTATATACTGCAGTAAATATGTCATAAATCTAGTTAAAACACATATTTTAATTTTAAATGTATCGTGTATGATAAAATATATGCAATTGGATAAACTATGTTAGTTTAAGCTACATTTTAGTGTAATATTCAGAATTAAGTAATATTAAGTTTTACCTGTATTATGACATTTTTACTGCACTATATATACTATGTAACTTTTTAATCTATATATAGATTAAAAAGTTACCTAATATTATACATATAATATAGATGTCAAACTATAATATATTATCTTGTAATTTGAAATTCTATAATATTATTATGGTATATATTATATATACAACTGTTATGCATCCGTACATAACATTTTAATAATGTTATACCTAAATAGTTACGCATAGGTGATCAACAATAGCATTCCTGTTATACATTATTATATATTAGAAGTATAACTATGTAACATTAATGATATATAAAATAATGTAAATTTGTTTGTTATGAAAAAGCGGACATAGGCACTTAACAGTAATATAACCGTTATATTTCTGATAGATATTAATACGTAACTGTTACCAAGGTAATATTACAAAGTTATATTACGGTTACATATATGTTGTTTTATGTGCTGTTCGGGAAGTCATTTAGAGTCGAGGGATATCTTTTTGAAAGCGGTAGTACAAAATTTGGATTTTTAGTAATTTTATTTCGTATTATAAGTGCCGGGCGGACACAATATGCAGTATGCCGTTAGATAACTATAGGTTTATAATTCATTAAAAATCATAATTTTGTACTACGACAAGTAGTTTGTACAAGTAGCAATAGCACACACTGATCCACCTTTCGCTGCCATTGTAATATTGTATATTTAAACATAAACTATAAACATTTAACAAGATGTAATAATTGTGACATGTGCAATAGATTTTGTCATGGACATATTGTGTACGAGTGGATGGGTCGTCGTACGAGTGTACGACAATGACGTCAGTCAAACTGTCTCCCCACTCCTACTTTTTCAAAATCTCAGAATGAGGCAACCTGTATTATCTATAAACCTTGGCGCTAAGAAACGTTACCACATTTATATAATCAGTTGCACCGGGGTTATCTAATTTTTGTTAATGTGATTATGTGCCACGGTCTATCTTAAACCGTGTTATGTGCATAAGCTTATCAATAATTGATATTATTATTATAATATTATCAGCGTCCAGCCGTCCCCGATACATGGCCCCTTGGGCGGTGTGTAACGATTACAAAAAACTTGTTATGGTTATAAGGTAAAAGTCAATAGTATATATAATAGTATATAATATATATTTTTTTTTATTTATATTAATATAATAATGTCCGAATACCTGGCATCATACGGCAATCGTTTGCAGAACTAAAACTTTGAAAAATTATTTTAAAAAAACCCACGGTCCTACAGCTACAAACAATTCGTTTCTACCGGAGTAGTGCAAATTACGTTCGCCACTCACTTATAATATGAAATAAAATTACTAAAAATCCAAATTTGGTACTACCGCTTTCAAAAAGATATCCCTCGACTCTAAATGACCTACTCTATACCCCCAAACAGTTTTAACCCTTTAGTGGGTATAGGGAAATAATTTCCCATCACATTGCAAAAATTCTGTAGCCCTGTGGTTAGTGGGAAATAATATCCCACAGATATATTTAGTTTAAATGCGTGTTTTCCAACCTATATTGACCATTATCATCGATAACTATTATAAGAATGTATTTAGATAATAGTTCTAAAAAAAAACGGGAAATTATTATCCCAATGACCACTGCGGAACGATAATATTTTATTATCATTTTTTTTTTTTTTTTGATACTGGTTGGAAACATTTAAATCGAATGATATCTGTTTAGTGATTGGTTGTTAATATTTAAGGCGTCTTTGACTTTAATTCTGTGTTATCGGAACTTGTATAGTATCATTTGTTGTTGAGTTATCATTATAATTACATTCAATTTTGAATTCGACGTTTTTTCGGTCGTCGATCAAAATATGTTTTTTATTTATTAGATTCAACATAATCTACTCAAAGTAAGTATATTTTAGATCTTTATTACATGTAAAAGTATAATATATACAGTTTTGGTGTGTTATACAATGCGCTAACTTGTTATTGAAGATAATATGAATATATTTATCATAGATGCTGAACGAGGAGGACATTTTGTTAGCATTAGAAATCACCGATGACATGGCTTTTGACTCGGATATAGGAGGCGACTCTGATGCAGAGGACACAATTCCTGCATTACATTCGTCCTCAAGTATGAATTAATTATTAATTTTCAAAAATTAGTCATACTGTGACATTTTTTAAATTTTAAATCTAATATAATTGTATTTCTTTTAGATTTATCCTTAGAAGGCATAGAAGCTCTTCAACCAAATTCAGATACAGAAACACTATCAATTACTTCAAATAGAGAAACAATATCAATTAATTCAAATACAGTTACAGGTAAAAAACATTTACATTTTTATAACATTTATTTTTACTCAACAAATTTGAGTTACTTTTTTTTATAATAGAAAAAAACAAAATTATTTTATTGGTTAAGTACTCATAAAATAATACAAATGATTAATACTTTATTATATTGTAATTTAATCATAAACTATCTACTGATACAAATAATATTTATGATATTGTGTATCATATATTCATTGTGTTTTCATGTATAAATATTATTTTTTTAATACATTTCATTATATATATTATATATTCATAGTTTTTATATAATTTTAAAATACATACAGTAAACTCTACTTATAGGTCAGACAAGATCATTAAGATCTCAAAAAAGGTCACTACAATTTGAAAATACAAAACTTGATTCTAAAAATGCTTCTACATCTGCAGGTAAACTAATTTTCTTAATTTTTTAAAATATATTATATAATTATTAATTTTATAGTATAAAACCGAGTATAAAACCTTATATAAATCATGTTATACTAATAATTATTAATTTTTAGTTTCAGATTTAATTCAGTCACCACTCATACATTCACCTATAGACAGCACAACTGATTATACAGATTGGGATGATTTTGATGTTATTGACAATATAGCTACTGACGAAACTTTTTTACCAGCGAGGTTAATGATTATGAACCTACAGACAACGAATTTGAAGAAGATGAAGAACTTAACTTTAATTTTTGTAAAACTGGTAAAGTACCTGAAAAGTTTAATAGTTCTGCAAGAAACACAAGGTCAGAAACACAAGGCCCTACTGATCCATTTTTATTGAAAAAATCACTCCTTGATATTTGGGAATCTATATTTTCCCCCGTAATAAACATAATAGTTGAAGAATCTAATTTGTTTGCCACTCAAAAACATGCAGTTTTAGACACCACACCTGAGGAAATTCGTGAGTTCATTGGAATACTTATATTTATGGGTTATCATGATGTACCTACTATTAGATTGTATTGGTCTACAAATCATAATTTTTTCTGTCCTAGAATAGCAAATGTCATGCCATTAAAAAGATTTTTAAAACTATTACGTTACATTCATTTAAATGATAATCAAAAAATGCTTCCCCGTTCATCTGAAAATTTTGACAAATTATTTAAAATTAGACCATTAATTGATCACCTTAATAATATTTATAAAATGTTATACAATCCTTCTCAAAATTTATCTGTAGATGAGAGTATGGTTGCATTTACAGGCAGGTCGACAATGAAGCAATACATGCCCTTGAAACCAATAAAGAGGGGATTCAAAGTGTGGGCTATGACCGATTCTGCAACAGGTTACTTACTTAGTTTTGATATATATACTGGAAAAAAAAATCTAACAAACCTGAATTAGGACTGGATGAAAATGTAGTTTTAGAACTTAGTAAATATTATAGACACAAATACTATTGTTTATATTTTGATAATTTTTTTACTAGTATTCCCCTTATGAAAATGCTTTTAGATAGGTATTGATTTGTTTGGTTGTGGTACGTTTCGCATCAATAAAAAATTTTATCCCAAGCATTTGATGAAAAAAGATTCGCTATACAAACCAGGAGAAATAGAATTTACTCAAAGTGAAGATGTAAGTGTTTGTCGTTGGAAAGATCGGGGTAAAAAGCCAGTTACAGTAATAAGCAACATGCACAATGCTTCATCTACTGAGATAGTAAATAGAAAAAATAGTAAGGGCGAGAGGATACCCATAGAATGTCCCAAAAGCATATCAGATTACAATAAATTTATGGGTGGAGTAGACCGGTTTGACCAATACATGGCTACTTACAGTGTTGCCCAAAAATCTAGGCGGTGGTGGCTGAAATTATTTTATTACATGTTAGACACATCAATTGTAAATTCATATTTGTTATACAAGTCAAGTTGTGCGAATTATAGAAAAAAACCTATATCTGCTCTAGAATTTAGATCAACTCTCACTGATCAACTTATTGCAAATTTTTCTTCCCGTTATAGACCTACAATTTCTCCTGGTGTTAAAAATCCTAAACGTGCTCTTTCAAATCCGTCTAACTATATAATTCCTGGTCAACATTTAGCAGTGAAAATAGATAAATATAGGCGCTGTAAATTATGTAGTAAAAATAAAGAAAAGAGATCCAGCATTTTATGTGAAACATGTAAAATATGTTTGTGTAAGGAATGTTATGCACCATACCATAAATTACCAAATAACATTTAGTTACCAATTATGTTTTACTATTATATAAAAAAGGGTCCTAAAATGTAGGTAGTTTTTATTTATTAGATTTGGAACAAAAGTCTGTATTTATTTAATACTTATATCATATGTTATTTACTATGTATTTTATTATTATATTAAAAAGGTAGTTTTTTTTTTATTTATTTTTATATTATTATATTATATTTTTACTCATATAATATGTTATTCATTATGTTTTTTGTTATTATATTTGAAAAAGTATCCTAAAAGGCCCTAAAAAGGTAGTTTTTTTATTCATTTTTATATTATTTTGTATTTTGTATTTAATATTATTATACGTATGTTATTTATTAATACTGGTTTGAAACAAAAGGCTGTATTCATTTATTATGTTTTTATTTGTATATTAAATATGTTATTCAGTATAAAAATAAATAGTATTATTTATTACTTTTATAAGTAAACTAGCAGACCCGGCGAACTCCGTTTCGCCACCAGATTCGTTTTATGTTTTTTTTCGTTTGGTGATTAAAATATAAAGAAAAAAAATTTTGTTATCTTCTTTTGAACGCCGACGATAAACTGGATATCCATCGTTCCCTGTGACTGTTTCAGCAACTAACGGTCGCGGATATCGTTTTGTGCACTTTCCATCAGCCATGCAAGGCGATAATGGATTTAATGCACCGCACGGTCCATGCACCATCTGTGTCGTCACAATGTCGTGTAGACGGGGATCAGTGACTGGATCAGGAATTTCAGCTGATATGATGTCATCCACTTCATTTGAATGTAATTTGTTCAGCAACCAAATTAGGATATGAGCATGCGGTAGTCCACGCTTCTGCCATTCCACCGAGTACATATAACAACGTGTGTCACCAAAAACTCGATACTTAGTAAGCACATCCATCATAACCTTGAGTTTTTGCTGAAATACTCTGGCGATTATGTCATGGCGATCTTGCGGTTTTTGACCTGGTTCCAACTCGCGTTCAATTTCCGTCCACTTCGGATTGCATGTGACCGTAATAAATAAATCCGGAGTTCCATAATTTCGCACGTACGTCATAGCGTCTTGAGCGTATTCGTGCATGTGGCGTGGGCTTCCGATATAAGTTGATGGGAGAACCGTCAGTCGTCCAATATTCTGAACATCACCATCTGAATGAATAGCATCACGCAAGTGTATATAGTCCTCAGATCGTAGCTTTGGCTGATTGAATCTGATGAACGCTAAACGTTCGGTCTCGACTTTGACATACATGTCGACAGCGAATTGCTGGAATAGCCGACCGCACTTCAGAATGACATTCTCCTCATGTGTACGAATCATCATACGATACGCATAGTAATTCATTGCGCTTAGATTTTTATTATTCGTTGATACTCCTGAAAATGCAAAATTAAATGAATTGTTAATGGAAACCAATAAAAGTAATAATGGAAATAATTAGTGTGTGAATATTGTACCTGTAATTGGATCGACCATCTTCAACGTGATGTCGTATCCGTCTTGCCCTTGCCAATAAATGATTGGATATTGTAACGCATCGTACAAACGATGTGTCTCGTTTACACGATGCATGATATTGCTTCTTCGCTGAACGACAATGTCTCGTGATTTAGTTGGATCGCCAACAATAATTGCAGCAACATCATTAACGGTGGGTGCATTGAATCTTCGCCCATGTTCACCTGTTGGAGTACAATCCGCTCTTATGACAAATTTGTGGCATATCCGATGGCATTCGTTCCAATGCTGTTTTGAACATATTAACCACAGCATTATTAGCGTGAAAAAATGCTTGCAACTGTTCAATAATTCGTCTCTTTAACTGTTGTGCTCCCTGTATATTGCACCGCACGTTCAGCTGATCCACCATCGACGAAATGAAATATATTTGCAGAAATTGATGCGGTTCATCTGGTGTGGTTGGCACCATTGAACCATGCAAATGATATATTTGACCTTGTATCTGTAATTGCAAATAATCATTAAAATTTGTTCATGAATACCTTTTAAATCGTGTGATTGTGTAGTGTGTGGTGTATATGAAGTTGTTATGTGTTGCAATTATGTGTTAGTTATGTGCAGGGCTCGGAAGTTATAGCACTAAAAAAATTAATTTTTAGCGCTTAAATATGCACATAAAAACATTAATATAAGCGCTATAAATAGCACTAAAAATTGGAAAATATGCAAAATAAAATTTCATTTAGTGGTTAGCTTTTTCTAGTTCCTCCGAATTAAGTAAAAACATATTGCCTGCATTATTTTCCTCAAGAGTGCCTACTGCCTACTATTACATTTGCAATGTAACGACCCTGTACATAATCAGTGGTCTCGTCGACACTGACCCAAATTTTTTTGTCAGAAATTATTTTCCTAATTTTATCCATGGTCTCATTGTAAATATCATCCACATATCCTTTTCGCAACTTGGATTCACTCGGAATATCATTTTTTGTATAACCTTCCAAAAATGTTTTAAATTTTGTGTTTTCTAACTTGTTTGAAGGAATTTTAGCAGAAATAAAAGCCTCACACAAATCTTTATTAAATTACGATTTTTTACTAATATTACTTGTCGCTGTCAATAACTGCTGTTGTTGTCGATTTATTTGATTTTCATATCGGGCAAGGCCTTTGATATGTTTGTCACTTTTTATATGTTGTGATACGTTAAACTTTTTGTCAGAATTAACTTTGACTTCACACATTTTACAAAATAATACACTTTTATCAATTGAAAAAATTTTAGGACCATATAAATTAACATAGGTTTGGAGCCGATTTGACAAATTTTGTTTAACTTTAGGCATTTTTAAACACGATAAATACGATAGTTCACGATCAAACGCACAACACACAAATGACGGCAATACGCAGACAACTAAAATAAAATCATAGGTCTTTACGTACGGCGATAGCGCCGTATCTTACGTAAATACGACGAATTCGAACTCCAAAATTAGCAAAATACCTTCTATAATATGTATTTATGTGAAAATATACCCAAAAATAGCACTAAAAACCTAAAATTAGCAAAATAGCAGTAAAAACCGTAAATATGCAAAAAATAGCAAAATAAAATTTCGTGTATGACATCAGAGAAGTGTGAAACATATTTGTATCTTACCTTGGATGTTCTAGGACGAACCAATAAAAATATGCATTTGCTAGAACTTCCGAGCCCTGGTTATGTGTGTTGTATCTTTTACCTTGCAAGTCGGCATGAAGCCGCCTTCTCGAATGATATTAGCTCCAAAGGAAGTCATGCGACTGTGAGTGTTGCTGGCTTGCATGTCTTGTGCGGCGGCCGATGTTCGCACGTCGTTCTCTAGGCATTTTGGACTATGGACAGAGTGTTGAATTTAACTTCAAATGCACGATCCACATAATTTACATAATTTATTTTAGCTTAAATGAAATTAACTGAGCAGAGAATAATGACTATCCGTCAAACACTTTATCACGCACCGTTGCTATTGGTTTGAAGTACATGCTATGTATAATAGATGGCGCTGTATGTGAAAAACGATTTCCCCACTTTTCTGTTGAATTTTTCCTGAATTTTCCAGAATTTTCTTTGCTATAAACCTCACGGAGCCAAAGACCTTTCCAACGAATGCAAAACCGTGGAAATCGGTTCGTGCGTTCTCGAGTTATAGCGTCAGGGAGGAAAACCGGACTTATTTTTATATAATAGATATTTCAATAAAATAAAAATGGGAAATTATTTCCCGTTAGCATAATCCTATGTCTGTAATGATCATAGGGAAATTATTTCCCACTGATTTTTACATACTTAGAGAAAAAAAAAATTTTTTTTGTATTTTTCTCATCTTCCTAGACCAAATAAGAACAATCTCTGAAAATTTGGTACAAATAAATTTACTTTTTTTCCTGTGCTCACTAAAGGGTTAAGTCCCCTGGTAAGCTAATTGGACTTGTTATGGTAGTAATATGTACGTAATATACTAATATATACATTACATGGACTATCGAATAATATTATATTTTACTATTATAAATATTAGGTGGTTTCGATAATTGTATTTCGTAGCTTATTGAATATTATTTATTATAACGTACGTTATAAAGACAATGCATTTAACGACGACAACCATGGCTGGGTAGTCAACGGCGGAAGGGGGTCTCGTGATTCGTGCGATCGACGATTGCGGGTGTCTATTTTTAGTAATCCTGCCGGTCGATACAAAAAAAAAACCCAGTAGATATATGGTTAATGCGAATGAAATCATACCACCTCCACCATCATATCTTTTAACCCCCCTTACCACCCGCTATGTCATCGAGTCGCCGCCGTCACCGTCGTTAATCGCAATTTTACTCAGTGGACTTCAATTCTCTCTACACAGTCTTACAGTGCACACGTTTACAAATGGCAAGAAGACGAAAATTCCAAATTTTGTCAGTGGCCGACGACATGGCGACCTTCTCCATTTTGGACAAACATCTAGGTATATTTTTTTGCTCGTATTAATTTAATATTTTATCGGTTTCGGACAACAACTCATTAACACATTCGCTGCGTTTGTCCTCAACAATATTATTATTATTTTTTTTTTATATTATAATATTTTATATTTTTATATTATTATATTTGCTTTTATATTAATATTTTTAAATTGTATAGGTTTTGCAACACATAAAACGCAAGCCGAAAAATTCGAATTTCAATCAAAATTTGAACTAAAAACATTAAAAAAACAGATGGATATGTATAGCAAATCTATATTAGATAATTTATACATATACGAAAAAAACAAAATGTTTAATTTAGAAAATGATGTTAAGGTTGTTTCTAAAAAATTTATAAGTTCTGGTACAGTTATTAAAACACTTTGCGCGCAAACATCACCAATCAATCCAGAAGACATAATAGTATGTATTGCTTAACTAAAACTATTTATAACAAATAAATTTTTTTTTTAATATTTTGTTTTACAGATTGGTGTTAATGACTTTTCTATAATAAAAAGTAGCAAAT